GGCGGGCGCCGAGCTCCCCGACACCTCCGGCACCCACGGGGCTGGTGACAGGTGGCCAGAGGGTGCAGCGTGTCCCCCAGCGCGTCCCACGTGCCCGGGGTGACGCGGAGGAGAGCGCTTGGCCTTCTCCAGAGTTTTCTTAACTATGTCACTGAGAACAAACCCCTCTGGAAAGAATTTAGAGTAACCTCCAGGCAGGACCAAGGGAAAAAAAGCCTTTAAACTACCTGGGCTTCCCCCGCTGCCCGTTCCGGAGCGCAGCCTCGGGCTGGAGCCCGGGGGAAGTCGGTCCGTGGAGCCTGGGGAGGGGCGCGGGGAGGAAAGCTGCACACAAGAGTGGGGAATGGGAGGCTGCGGTCCTCCACCCGCCGTGGCAGGGGTGCGAGGGGGTCCCCGCGTGTCAGAGAGGTAGAAGGAGCTGGGAGAGAAGCTCTCGTCGCCCACCGGTGCTGTACAGCACCCCGGGCAGCGGGTGGAGGGTTGGCCCGACACCAAGGCACCCCAGGACTGCCGGGCCCAGGAGACAGGCTGCAGGGGGGAGGACAGAGGGACCAAGGGGGGGACGTCGTGAGTTGTTTCAGTGCATTGAAATGTGCATTGGAGTCAGGAGTCCCTGGGAGACGCCGTCCGGGACAGCAGCCCCGCGGCTACGAACACCTGGCAGAGAGGGACGGGCTCTGCCGCGCATCCAGGACATTATGAAGAGCGAGATAATCACTCCGGCAAAGTTCGGGAGCAGGAGGGCAATTAAAAGCGAGCACGGTGGTGGCCGAAGGAGCTCCTGGTTTGGGGGTGCAGCCCCAGGAGCCCCCCCAGTGCGCTGTCGGGCTGGGGCTGGGCACGTAACAAGCACCAGCAGCGTCCCAGCTCCGCACAGCCGCGCCGGGGGAGACGGGCACCAGGGAAGGAGGGTCAGCCCCTGCCTGCGGACCCCCAGGACCTGCCCCTGCCCCGCGCCCCCCACCCCAGCACCGCCGGGCGCGGGGGGATCGTCCCTGCCCCACAGCTGACACGCTGCCAATACTGCTCGGGTTCGTGACATCGGATGCGACATCTGGGGGCTGCATTTTGAAGATGACACTGACCACTACGCTATCCTTCCTGCTGGTGCACCACATTCATCTGGGAATGAATGCTCAGAGAACATTTTCCTTTATGGACACTGGAGCCCAAATCCTCCCTGCTCTGATAACTGTGTCAGCATTCAAACCACTCAGCAGGATTTTAAAATGCAAGGAAAAGTTTTAGATGCTTTAAAAAAGGAAGTAGTGAATATTTGTAAACTACAGCCAAACATATAAAACAGTATTTCTTTAGTTCTAGCTAGAAAAGTAATTCTATCACCTCACAGTTCAGTTTCAGCTACATTCAGGTCTAGGAATCTCCACATTCTTACGTAATGCCTTAAAGCAGCAACAGACGTTAAACAACAAAATTAAAGTTTATCAAAAAAAAGTCTTAAAAATAAAAAAAAAGATTTGGTTTCTGTATCCTGCATGTTCAGTGTATGTAACCTGACCAGGGTCCCTTACACCTGCTGCTACAGTTTGGGAATTTTTGGCAGTTGCTTCAAGAGAGGTTTTGTTTGTTTAGGAAAAGCAGTAATTCGCTAAAGTTCAAGTTTGCCTGCAGCATCCCGGCAGCTGCCTCCACACTTACTGCTCAGCAAGTTGTGACTTTCCAGCTCTAGGCTGAAACGGAGTATTTCACCCTCCGGAGGAGACTTCCCGTCTCATCGGTTATGCATAGAGCACCCTGCGCTGAGTAATTAAAGCTCTTTTGTCCATCATTTTCTACGTATCACTGCCGTTAGTCCCTTGAAAGAGAAGTTACCCTGCCAGGTTCTTTGGTTAAAGACATTTCCTCAGCTCTGCCTGCAGGGCCAGGCTGCCTCCCGCAGCTCGAGGCCGGGGAGGGATGGTGCCGTGGCAGAGTCCGGCGGCCGTGCCCGTCCCTCTCCCGCCACGGCCGCGGAGCTGTGCATCTTTACCAGAGAGACGAGGGACGCTCGGCTTGCTATTCACAGGCAAAGTAATCCTTGAGCGGGGAGAAGAGGTGCTGGATGACGGGGATGCTCCACGACCTCCCCAGCAGCTTCTGGCGAGCCCCACGGCCCACGTTGGAGACGTCCGTGTAGTGGAGGGGGAACCCGAAGATCCTGCGGGGCAGAGGC